TTTGAGTTACACGCTCAATTTGCTCCTGTCTTCCAACAACAGGGTCTAGTTTTCCCTGAAAGAGACAAATTAAACCAGTATCTGTTATTCCACCTCACTACACAGAAATCCAATCTCAGAAATAAGGATTTCCTTGAAATTATACCTCCTCAGCTAGCTTGGTCAAATTGGTGCCATACTCCTCAAGAGTGGGCATTTTGTTGCCCGAGGTCCCACCTCCAACACCAGCACCAACAGCCTCTGCACTCTCACCGACCATTCTAATAACCTATTTTTCCATGAAATGAGTTAAAAACAATTAGGGCTTGATTGTTTATGAAATAATTTGTTCGAAATAAGTTATTTTGGTTAACCATAGTTAATTTTGAAAAAAGTGGTATGGTTAGTTGTTATAGAATTTTAAGAATGTATTAAAATAATATTTAAATGAAATGATTAAAATTGATTTGATGTAAAAGTAAGAGATAAATGATTAGAAATGATAGGTAGTTAAAATTATGTGAATGGATGAATAGTGAATTAAAGTTGATGTGATGTGTAAGAATGATTGGTTTGTATTATTTAATTATATGAATAATATTAAAGATAGTGAGGTTGAGTTAAAGTTGAGTTAAATTTTGAGTTGAAATAAAAGTTGAGTAAATTAACTCATAAACAATCAAACCCTTAGTTTCACAGAATAATTGCCTAAAAATTATACAGTATACAAAGTAGAGGTCCATTACTTGCCTGAGTTCGTATATTACTAGGATCAGCACCTAAATTCTCAAGGACACGAGCTGCCACACCTTCACCCTCACGAAGCAATCCTAGCAGCAAGTGCTCCGATCCAATGTAATTGTGACCTTAAAGAACATTAAAGAAAGAGATATTAAGAAAAGTCATCTCTGATCAAACCAAACATACTTAAAATAAAGGCTGTGAGACACCATTTCATAAACAAAATTTAAAGCTTTAATCAATTGATGTTTTAGAACGTTCAATCATATTGTTTCCAGCATGCAGATTGGAACAGAAAACAAAACTACCTAAATATTGATCAAGAACCTAGTGAACAGTGATTCATGAAGAACCAGAAAACTGCCCAAAATACCATTATCTGAATAACTAACATAGAAACTAAGGGAAGAGCACACTTAAAAGAAGACTGAAAAAATTAGTTACCAAGCTGGCGAGCCTCCTCTAGCGATAGTTCCAGAACACGCTTTGCTCGAGGAGTAAAGGGTATCTCAACAGCAACAAACCCACTACCCCTTCCGATTATTTTCTCCACCTCCACACGGGCATCCTTGAGGTTGATTCCCATGGACTTCAGAACCTTGGCAGCAATCCCTGTGCCCTCACCGATTAGCCCCAACAGAATCTGCTCGGTCCCAACAAAATTGTGTCCGAGCCTTCTCGCCTCCTCTTGTGCAAGCATGATCACCTTTATTGCTTTCTCCGTGAATCGCTCGAACATGGCACGTGGAGTAGCCAGGCGCGATTTCCTACCTCGTTTGACGATCCTGGTTGCTGATGCAACTTTTGATAGCAGTGTCTCACGTTTGTTGGAGGGCCCCAAGAAGTCTAAAGCATTTTCTCCACGCCATCCCACAAAGCCCCTTATACTCACGGGAGCTGATTGAGGGCCGCAAAACATATATGCTGCCTGTACTGATTTATTAGAGCCCCTGACTTTATTTCCACTATTTACCAAACCAACTGAGGAAGACAAGTTGGTTGATTGAAGTAATGCCTGTGCCATGTCTACCTACAAGAGGCCAGTGAAAAATAATTACAATACTTTCCGAGTGGAGAGACTAAAAGATTTGTAGAGTTGAAATATTCAAGCAGGTAATGCATCAAAATGCTTAAAATGCCAACAGATAAAGCAAAAGAGAATCTTCTTATTGTATCGAATCCCAGCAAACTGGTTTTGATATCAGGAGAAAATTGCTGACTGGAAACTGGGGTTCAGCACCCATTTTCAAAACACAGAAGTCAAAAGCTGAATGCCAAAAAAGTTAGCTAAGACCAAATATCTGAAATGTATTCAAGAAAAAAAACTAACAGAATCTATAAGGTCAGATGAGACAATCGCCTTAAAAATTGTTTCCAACAGTCCAGATAGGATCCTTATGAACTAGAGTGTCAATGTCAATGTGTCATAGACGTTAACCAAAGTGCACCTACGAAACAATCAATTAAAAATGTAAAATCTAATTGAATCCAAATATTTCATGTGAATAACATAAAAGGTTTCCTAGTTCAAATTTGAGATATGTATGGTACAAGTCACAAAAGATCTACAAGATAACCTGCCAAATTCATGCCATCCTGACAACAGAACAGAATAAACTTCTCCGAGTGTTGGTAATAATGAACATAACAGCAATTTTACACGCAAAAATTTAGATCCAAACCACTTTATCATCCAACATGTATATCAAAACACACACATGAGCATTGAAAGAAACGACAAGCATGTTCGAAAACTGTAAGTGAAAAATCACAAAGCAAGTACTAACCTATTAGAGAATGCACAAGTACCTTCATGTGTGCAAAGGAAAAGAAATAAGAAATAAAGGGAGAACAACAACAACATAGCTTAATACAAGAACATAACTTATACACACAATCAAACATAGAACAACGAAAAACTCAGGTCCCATTACCGGAGCACAAATACTTGTAATAACAATTACAAAATAGTCATAACTTATCAAATTCAAGAACAACATAAGCCAAAATTACAAAATTTCCTCATAAAAATCAAATCTTTATCGAATTAGGATCTCGCGTCCACACTCAAAAACATGCGCAAACTTGAATCAATTCGTAAAACCCATAACCCAAGTACAAAACCCAGGTCAGAAACAAAGAACAACTCACCTAAAATGAATTACAAAGCGAGATTAATGGATAAAAAAAGAGCGAAATCAGAGAGGCCCTGAAAATGGTCGGCCAGATTATTGAAACGGAGAAGGGCCGGAGAGATACAGATAATATAGATAGATAGATAGATGTGGATGATAACAATTTGCCTTCACCTGGATTTATCTAGTCTTGCACGCTTTTCCTTTTTT